TTTTTGATGGATCCCATCACAAAGTGAAATAATATACGGTAAAAGTGCATGACATAACACATTATTGTGTAAGCTACCATGAAAACTTAAATTAAGTGTGCTGTGAGGAAATGCATCAAGTCACTCTGGGTCACCACACCAAACCCTTGCAGCACTGTAAGACAGTGCAAAGCATAAGCCTAAATAGCAGTCGACAGCCTGAACAAACAGCAACCTCAAAATAACTGCACCGGGTGACTTTTCAAGAGTAATGAATCTGGAGGTGGCATCAACTTTGTTATTAATTCTAATCAGTCAAAGGTGGGGTTGGAACCTCACTCGCATACCAGCAACAGCTTAGGGGAATTATTCTGTCATTTTCTAAGACTGTATGGTGCAGACATTAAGCTTGATAAAACCTTTCATTCTAGCTGCAAGGAATATTGCTGATGGGGCACACTGAAATAGTTTCCAGGCTCCCAGGCAGGCAGAGGGAGCCACTGCAGCCTGTGCTCTGGAGAGGAACAGCCCACAAGTTATCAGGAACCAGAGCATGGTCCCAACTTCTGGTTGAAGCAAACAGGACACAATGTCATGGACGTGATCAAGCCCTCTACAGCATCCCCACCCCAGCACAGGCACCTTGAGGCAGGAGCCCAGCTGTGTGCCAAATTCAGTGCAGACAGAAAGTGGCTTAGCAGGCTGGCTCTCTGTGTGGCTCAGCTCCTCACAGGCTGAACAGGAATAATAAGCATTTAGAGGATAAATTAAAGTTTTAATTGCACTGGTTGTGTGGTAACAAGACTATCCAAAGTAGTAACTAATTGCTGATTTCAGATACATGGACCTAATCCCAGCACTGTCAGCAGGACTTTTTTTGTTCCCATTTGAAAGCAAAACAATAAAAATGTTGCTGCATTAGCTTGACTGCCTAAATAAAAGTCTCCCTCACCCAACCTCATAATTTAGTTTGCTTCCCCTGATATAACAGGGACCAAATATCAGCTTTCAACTTGCCTTACATAGCTCTGCCCCAGAACAGGGACAGGGGAGCAGTAGGAATGGTATCCACCGTGGTGAGTGTCTTTCACAGAGAAGTGGCAACTCTCGTGATGCTGGTTACATTCCACAAAGCTCTAACTGCACATTAAACATAATAAAAGAAACCACAAAGAAGTAAGATGGCAATTATTTTGCTACTTAGATAACTTGCCCAGGAATCAAGTATTTGCACAACACTCAGTCATGATTCCCTAGCCTGTGCAAACATAAAACAAACAGACCAAAACACTGTCATTAAGACCTAACACAAAGCTGTAACATATACAGAGGCTCATTATAGCTCATTAAAAATGCTTCGAGTTTAAGGGAGAGAGACAGCAGTTAAGGGCAACCATCAGAGGCCTCACAGCTCACGGTGTATTTAAAATACACTATGTGGCACAGTGAACAGGCACAAGCACAAGCCCACTGCAGGGCAACCTACTCCTGCCACGGCCGTCCCCAGTGCCAGGCAGCGGGGACTGATGGTGTGGGAGCTGCGGAGCTGCCGCGCTGGGATGGGACGAGACGGGCAGGGGCAGGCAGCTGCCCAGCCTGGCAGGAGCACTCCTCCATCACCACCCGCTGCCCCGGCTTCTCTCCATGCCCGGCACAGCAGGGCCTGAGAGCCCAGCCTCAAGGTTTTCATTGGGCTCTGGCGCTCCTTCTCAAATAGACCATTTCTTCCAGTTATAGCTTTAATTAATTTAGAATGAATTATTTGGGTCTTTTAATTTCCCGGCTTATTCTGAAAAAGTCCAATTAATGCTGAGCTAAGTAGCTCCAAAGGCTCCGCAGCTCTCATCTACCCTGAAGGGATCCAATTAAAACGAGACACTAGTCAAAATGTCAAACCACAATCATTGCTAAAGCCACTGTGCAACAGATCTATGACTACATATAAACCTCACAATTACTGAACAAATCACACAATACTTGGAAACCTAAAGCCTAGAACACCCTCACTTAAGATGCAGCCTCCCCTGTCAACCAAGAGCATGTTCAGAACTTATAGCAAATAATAAAAGCCACATTTCCTTTCACAGGACAATTAAAACCATGGAGAGTAATGAAATTTGTCTAAATTAGTCCATAATATATGATAAGGGCTTAAATGCAGAAAAGACAGTCCAGAAGCTCTGCTGACTGTGGAGCTGAAGGACCTCTGAGCCAGCACAGGCAGAGGCTGGTGAAGTGGCACCGAGCAGAACTGCAGAAATCTCTCTGTCCTGCTTCCAAAGCCACACAGACGCACTGGCAATCACTTCAAGGGTCTCCACAACTGTGGCACATTTTAATCTGGAATCCTTGTGATGCACTTACAAAATTTTTCTGTATGTGCTTTCTCAAACATTTAGAGAGCATAATAAGGTCTCTCTCAAACACACATCCCTCACTAGATAAAGTCTTTCTCTTGATTTCAACTGACTTGCTTGAAAAAGTCTAACTTTTCCTTCTAGCTGTGAAAATGTTTTGTCTAGCTGTGGAAAAGAAACAGGTATTAAATCATAGTTGAATGGGACACTAACTTCAAAACTGAAACAGGTCAACATTTCAGATGAGAGTTTGTTTTTAATGACCTGTAACTCTAACGTAATTCAATTAATCTTCTTGACTTCTGCAGAAAATTTCCCCCCTCTTTCCCACCAGTCAGATGCGTTTTTCCAACCAAAGCAGCAGGATCACTAAGTACTTGGTCTAAGCGCAAGAAGGTAATACTCTTTCAAAGGGACTTCAGTGGGGGGGGGTTTTGTTTAGTCTCATTGTCCTTGCAATGAAAACTCTAAATTTCCCCCTCACTTCGAAGTTAAATTTCAGCAGCAGAGAAAGGGACTAGAAACACAGGAGTCTTAGGAATGGCTGACTCCTCTGGGGAAGCCCATCCAGGGGTCACTGGTCTCAGCGTGCCACCAAGGAGCAGCAAAGGAGCTGGTAGGAGACCAGCCCAGAGGGGTGCCCGAGACAGCAGGAGAGACATCGCGACCAGCACTGGTTGCTGACGGCCCTCCTTGTCCCCAGCCTGCAGATGACTCCCTCCTGGGGCAGGGAGATCCCATCAAATACTGCACTCACGCTTCTGGCTCAGCCCAGAAGAGCACTGCAAAAAAACAAATGACCCTTTGGGGAAGGTGCTGCACAAGCTGTGCGTTTCTCGTATGTATTGTGCCTTGCAAGCTGCCAAGTTCCTCTCCCTCTGCCATTTTGTGGGAAAGAAGGTCTCCCTTCGACTAAAAATCACACAGGAAATCTCACAAAAGATGTTTTTGTTGTATGGTTTCACGTGCTTCAGCTCTTCCCACCTCTGAAATTAACAGAAAAAATCTGAGATCTATTTCCATTTGTGCATTACTTGAGAACTGAAATGCAAACATGTCTTGTCCTGCAAAACTAAGTAAAGCAAAGGCTTAATTATTTCAAAAAAAAGAAAGAGAAATTAAGATCAGTAAGCACAGTAGAAGTACGGTCCCATTTCTGCATGGCTGAAGCAGGTAGGAACCGTGCAGCAGCTCTCACGCTAAAGCTTTCCCTGACAGTCACCGCTCCGCAGGGTCTGAGGCACTGCAGAAAGCAGAGGGAAACGACAGAGAAGCGCTGAAGTACCACAGTGCGGTAGCAGCTGGTAAATGTCTTTCTAAACATAATGTTATCAGTGAAAAAGATGGAGTACCGAGAAACAGCAATTTTCACCCGTCGGAAGTGAGTTATCTGAGCTTGGAGATGATGCTCGAGAGAATGAGGCCAGAATTATCTGGAGCAGTTTGCGCAGCCCTGAAAAAGATCAGAGGCATTAAACTACCAATGTTTGTTCTTCCTGAGACTCTTCATGTGACTTTATATGATGCCAGCATCGCAGAGAACTGATGTGCATTTCTGCAGACTGCCACATGCGTCCCCAAAATTAAACAATTTTAATCACTTCTGATTACCTTTTAAACAACTGATGCCTGGCATTCTTGTCCAGGCATTATGTATCATTATTTACTAAGTATTTGACATATACTGTTTAGCTGGCCTTTGCTTAGTAATACATAGTTAATAAAGTGAAAATAATTAAAGGAAAACCATCACATTCTCTCCGTGTAATCCCATTTTGCTGGCAGCATAGTTTGCCTCTTAAATTCACTTCTCCTGGCCCTTTTGCTGGTCAGCTGGGTTTTCCCTTCCACTACTGAGCATTAATATTTTATTGTAGTGTTTCCTTGTGTTGTCTGTTTTACTTGGGGCAGGTTCTGTAAGTCACAGGTCCCTATAATGGCCAAGTGTTTCTTCACCCAGAGGACACTCTGGACTACACTTTGAGCTTGGAACAGCCGCCTCTCTCCCTGCCTCTTAAGAAAATACTGTATCTTACAGGTAACAAAGAAGTTAGTCTCAGTTATCCCAATTCAACACCACACACTATCAAAATGTCCTTCAGGAGCTGTGCTGATGTTTGAGCATTGGCCACCAGCTCAAACCTCACAGCAGCATAACTAAAAGGCAGCTTCAAGATTTTAGAGGAACGAAGTCAACCCTTGGATCACAGGCTCAGGGGTTAGCTCCAGGAGAGAAAAGCTTTTGCATAAGTGCCGCAGTTAGCCTGGGCAACTGCTGGACGTGGCAGCGCAGGTTCGTTACACGCCATGGAACCAAAGGATGACGCGACGCAAGTCACGTACGCTCTCAATAAAGCATCTGAGACGTGTCAGCGGGTGAGTTGCTTAATGATGAAATACAGGAATAACTGCATTTAAAAAAAAAAATGTTGATTTTTGTTCACAGACTCGCCACTTGTTGTTACATACACACACAGAAGGGAAGGGCATCAAATAGGTTGCAGGTAAAATTGCTTTCTAAGCTCAACCTCATACGATGTCAAACCTCTTTCTTTTCTGGCATAGGTCTTTTTACAAGCACTTCTCTGCCTATATGAATAACTAATTAAGGATTCAGGAAAGCAGTGGGTCCTTATTACAGCACTTCTTCCTTCTCTGTTACAGGAATGACCTGCCAAGCTCGAAGTTCATACATTACGAGTGAGATCCTGTGGGGTTACCGTTTCACCCCTGTCCTCACTCTGGAGGATGGATTTTATGAAGTTGACTACAACAGTTTTCATGAAACATATGAGACCAACACACCAGTTTACAGTGCCAAAGAACTGGCAGAGATGGCCAGTCGAGCAGAACTGCCCCTGACATGGTCTGTTTCCAGCAAGCTGGACCAGCATGCTGAGCTGGAAACTGAAGAAGAAGAAAAGAATCAAGAAGACCAAAACGAAAGAAACGGTGATGTGGCCAACTTGGAGAATGAGTCCAAAGTGTAGAACCACTGGAGGCATAAGGGCCACATCACCTCCTTTACCTTTTCCCTCTTTGCTCCCCTTTTCTTTCTCCAACAAGCTTTTATTTCCCTTCCTTGTTGTTCTTAATTCCGGAAAAATAAATACTTCACATGCAAAATATCTACCTGCCCAATTTAAACACAAGAGATTCACAGACTAAGTAAAGGCATGGTTAAAGCTGCAATACCCATTATTGATGGTGGAATCTCAATCCCCACCCTGGTAACGACTGCTGGCTTCCTCAGCATCTCTCTGAGTTCAGACCTCCAGGTTTATTCACATCAACAACAAAAAAGAACAATAGCAATGGGAATATATATAAGGGATTTGAAAGGAAGGACTAATTAATGCTCATCAAAGTACTGGGCCTTGCTTTTTATGTATTTCAGAACGGTTTCACATACTGAAATGGGCCTTGCAGCTTTAAGATAAAGGTGAGCAGAGGAATCTGCAACCCAATATGATACTGTACATATGCCTTATGTAATTCTTTCTCTTTACATTTAGTAATAAACACCGCATGTACGAAAGTACTGTAGTAAAGAACTTCTAAATAATGTACATAGATGTGTAATTAATGTAGGTTTAGAAACAGAGTTCTAGAAACACTGGGATGCAAAAACCAACTACCCATCGAGTAGGCATTTCTCTTCTAATATTTGGATTGTAATACTGATTTTTTTCCCCTATAGCTATGGCTCTTCTAGTGCATGACATTTTCTTCAGTGTACCAGACTGGCAGCTATTTAGAGTACCTCACTGTTTGCCAAACAGATTGTTTCACCGACTCTAAAAAGCCATAAGTCTGGGAGAGGGCAGGGTAGAGAAATTGTAACATAATTACTGATATACTGTGACAATGTTTACAAACAAGGCAAACCGTTCCTGGTTATTTTTTCGGCAGTTCAACCTAAAATTTAGGCTGTGGCAAACTCATGGCAAACCAGAATTTCCTGTATACTCTTCATATAACGAGCATGTTTCATGTGGAGGTATTATCCTTTATGTGCAATATCTAGGGAAACTTCTCCCTTCTCCCCACCCAAACCATGGGATTTCAGTGGAGTAGTCTGCTACACAAACAGCACAAGCCATTGAGAACCGAATGTTGCACCTTAGCGAGCAGATTTTAGCTACTCAGATGGGAAAGAAACAGCCGAGTTTCACCTGAAGCTGTAATCAATTAAATTCATTTTGTTGACAGTGCCAGCGCTTGGCCGATGCGGCAAGGTCACGGGTGGTGCGGTTTCCCTGGCCGTACGCTTCAGCGGGGTTTCTCAGCCCAACACACGGTTCCTGCCACCCGTGCTCAGGAAAGCGGTACCCGAATGACTTTCTTCACCTTAGCTTAGTTCCTTGGCTGTTGCAAATCAGTGCAAATCCTGTACATTCTGACGTGACAACTTTAAAATTAGCTGGGCAGTGACGATTTGCATAGCCAACGCTGCAACATTCACGCAGGTAGGGGAGCCTACGGGCATGGTCGCAGTTTCACGGACACGGCTCCATCAGGGGCTGCTCATATGGTGCGGCGTTGCCCAGTCCTAAGGACCACTCAGCCAGGCCCAGCGTGCACAAAATACTCCCTGCTGGAAAGGGACTGCACTGCTTTCGGTGGGCTTTTGGTCAGGCGCATCATGAACAGCATTTCTGCCAGTGAAGGAGAAGAAGCTGCAGCCTTAATTTTGTTTTTTTTTTTATACCTGCCTACTCCAGAAAGGAAGAATACACTGAAGAGAATCTGCAGCATTTTTGTACAGAAACATTTACGTTCAAATAGAAGGCAAAAAAAATAACCTCAGGAGAAATTTAGTGGGCAGGTGGAAGTTTTGCACTGTGATATAGCTTTCACACTAATTTCACAACTATTTTCAAGTCATTTTTTCTGAAACAACTGCCCCTCGCTGATTTTCACAGCGTGTGGCTGATCGGTGAGGTTTCTGCAGGTCCTCCAGCTGTGCGTCACGCTGAGGTGGGCAGAGCAGGGTGCGGGGAGAGGGTTGCACATCGGGGACTGGCAGATCAGGCTGGACGGAAAGAGTTCTTTGTTTCAGCTCCGAACATTTTCCCTGGAAGGCTTTCACCAAGCAGCATGATGTAAACAAAAGGTGCAGAATATGGATTTTTGTTCCCTCCACCCGGGGTGGCTGATTCTGCCAACTCGGTAAAGGTTACTTACGCTTACCCTTCGCGAAATAACACTCGCTTTGCTACAGACCTTTCAAAGCTCTTTCTTCTGCCCCGGCATCCGCAGCTGCCGAGTGCTCCAGCTCACCCACCACAGCCCACCCGTAAGGCTACCCGCCAAAGGCACGGAGCGTTTTTAAGCAAGGGTGGCTCCACAGCTCGGCTGGAAGACAGAAGCTTTACAGCAGGGGAGCCGGGGGAACGCAGCGTCCGTAGCGACGAGCCACCCGTGTGTGCCCGTCCTAGCGAAAGGTGCACGAGCTGAAAGCAAACCATTCCTCTGAGGATAAACCTGCTTTTTGCTCTTGTCATGTACTGGGCCACTCTCTAATTCATTGCTGCAGTTTAACAAAAGTTTGCGTTGATTAGAACAGCAGCTCAGGGCCCTAATTAAACCTTTTTTGTGTCCTTTAGCACAAAAAAATAGACTCTCTGCCACTGGGGCATGCGCATGTGTAAGCTATATTTTTGTGAATAGGGCACTTAAGGCTTAAGGTGCGTGTGTTCGTCTCTTTCTCTCTCCCCCCTTGTATTTTATGGCTTTGGTATTAATGTAGTACGGACTGTAAAGTTTATGAAATCTCATTTTTGTAACATAAGCTTAAAAAAAAAATAGAAGCCTCCAAAGCTTTCAACAGGGAAGCTTCACGTAAACTTTGTACTAGAATGTCCCTATCAAACACCTCTATTTTTCTACAATGATTGATTAAGCAGTTTAACAATGTATTTTGTGTCAATGATTTCAACTGAACTGGTAAAAAGACAACTAAGAATTGAATGCTGTTAATTAACAATGGATTTTCAAGCCGTATATACTGAGTGGTGTTTTCATTAACAGCAAGTAACTTCACCTGGGAACTTCATCTCCTAATCCTAAACAATATACTATGAAATATCAGTATCCCATGGGAATATTTCTGGCAAATCACATTTAAGGAACATGAATAATGCAACATTTTCATATAACTGGCTACTTAACTAATCAACACCCATTACATCTTTATATATGCCACGAATACATTTTGTTATCTTTTTCTCAGAGTATCTGGTGATTTGCAGGAGCAAAACAATTTACAGAGATAAACGTAAGCTCTTGGTAATATTGCAGCTCTCAATTCCTTCTTCCAATGAACAGAAATGCCACAGAGGCGCTTTGTACAGACTTCATGCACAGTGTTGCACTGTCCTCTCTGGCTCCATCTCTCTTCTTTTTTGTTTCTTTATTTTTCTTTAACATGAATTGTTTCTCCCCTGCCCAAGTTTCCAAACCAGGTATTTCAGGTGTTGATAACAGGCACAGACATACTGCATTTAATAGAGCAACACAAATTTATACTGGGTGAGAATTTGACCTTCAGCAAATAGTCAAAGCTCTGGCTTATTATTTAGCAATATATAGCATCTTACTAGCATTAAAATAAATTTCAGCAATTATTTCAAAATATGCATCAAAGAAAGCAAACATTTTCTTAACAGTATGCAGCTGTTATGATCTAGATCTTTACCCCACAAAAGCATGGTCATCGGCTTTGATGTGTGCCATCCCAACAAATTTAACTTCTGTGATCAAAGTTGAACATCTGCTTCTACAAAGGCCCTCGCTGCAAGCGTGCACGTAGCGGGGATTGCACTGAGCCAGGGCTCCGCGCACCCCTTGCAAGGCGGAGGAAAGAGGTGGCGTGCCCGGGAAGGCTCCCCAGCAGGCAGCTGAAAAACCAGGTGGGACAAGGTGCTGGCAAATGCGGGAGGGAAATGTGTGGCGGATGGTTTGAAGTTAACTTCGAGACAGGCTTTGGGTTTAACCTGGGTGCACAGAGGTGCCCAGATCTGGGGTTGCCCATGTTCCTCTGCTGGAGCTAAAGAGGAAACTCGGGTCTCTCAAAGCCTTTTCTCTTCTCAGCCACAGGGCAGAATTTCCCGTTTCACTCAGCTGCATGCTACTGGCCTGCTTAGGAGAGGGGAGACCTGGATTCAGTGCTCTCTTCAGCCCAGGAGGTTCAAAGCCACATCACACTTCTCCCAAGGAGCTAACCCTGCCATAACAGCATCAGCAGAGCCCCAGCCCCTGTGCCAGGGGCTGAATGGCTCTTGAATTCTCCTGCTAACCCAAAGAAACTTTAAATCCTTGTGTTTTTAACAGAAGAATGGAAAAAATCCTCGTTCCCTGGGTCCATAACAGCCCCTCTCCTATTGATCAGGGTGCTCCCCAGCTAAATGGTAGACCTCAGACTGGGGAAGTCACGGTGCTCAGGTTTCTCATCTCCTGAGCCAGCACAGCCAGCAGCCAGCTGCTATCTGCAGAGGTGCAGCACCACGGCCTTTGCCTGCGTTTCTGAACACAACCAGCTACTGCATCTCCTAGCAGGGCAAATCCCCCCAGGGCCTCGGTTTGGTGTGCTCTGAACACCACACACCAGTCCAGCCTCACCAGGAGGTGGACGTGGAGGTGGACGTGGAGGGAAGTCATTTTGTCTCACTCCAGCTTCGCTGTCAGAGGGGTACAGTGGCACACAGCCCTGAGAGGATGCACCACGTTATGTCCAGAAACAAGGAAGGGGTATCTGGGACCCCTGTCTGTTGCAGATTTGAATTTAAGCAAGTCGTGAGTTTATACCACTTCCTCCAGCTGTTTAATGTGGATGTGAATTGGAGGCTCAACGCTGAAACAGGGATTTGTCTATAAGGCAATGGGAAGTCTGTAGGACATTTCTTAGCAGCTACCACCAGAGCTTCTGACTGCGAAACACAGACTTGTTACTATGATGATAGTCTCTGTCCATCAAAATATCTTTCAT